GCATTTACATTTTCCTACGCAAGTTTGGTTATTCTGCAATGGACACGCATACGCTTTGTCGAGACTGTCGCACGTCTGTGGAGGGCAGTCGAAGGTACACCGCTCATAAACTTCGTTCGGCTTGTTACAAGACTCTGAAATAGTAAAATAGAATCAGTGAAAATACAAGCGGAAAATAAAGTAATATAACCCGAGCAATTGTGTTAGTTAATTGATAAACTATTAGAAAAAAAAGTTTTGGTATACCAAATATAGTTTATGTTTCGTTAGTGATTAAGAAAAAATGTGGAAACAAGCGCTCATATTATGTATGTGCTTTTTAGTGCAACGGACAGACCAATAAGTTAACAGTCTGAGTGTTAAGGACTTCAGTAATCGCTCGCCCAGAAGACGATAGACTCCACAATTTTAAAATTAACGCTGATCACAAAACATTACGTAGAATTAGTTACTAGTTATATTGTTTAAAACAAGCTGTCCCACTGTACAAACCTAAATAAATGTGTTGCGGTAAATATTGAAAGGCTTTTTTTTAATGCTTATATGTGTGGATGAGCTCACAGCCCACCTGATGTTAAGCGGTTACTGGAACCCATAGACATCTACAACGTAAATACGCCACACACCTTGAGACATAAGTTCTAAGGTCTCAATGTAGTTACAACGGCTGCCCCACCCCTCAAACCGAAACGCATTACTGCTTCACGGCAGAAATAGGCGGGGCGGTGGTACCTACCCGTGTGGACTCACCACAAGAGGTCCTACCACCAGTAAACCAGTAAACCAGACTGCTGACAGGATCTTCATAAGTCTTACCACCAGATTTTTGTAGGACAGAAATGTTGAAAAAGTGGCCCTAATTTACTTAACTAATACTTTTAAGATGAATAATCGATTGGTGGTTGGTGGATGGTAAGAGAGGTGGATGAGGAGAGTCGAAGACCGGGCTCAGTGGTGTAATTTGGGACAGGCTTATGTCCAGCAGTGGACGACTGTGGACTGATGATGATGATGATGAATGAGCGATAAGCAACAACATATACGCACGGGGACAAGATTGTTCAGGAACACATAAGCCGTTTTCGTCGCGTAAGTATCCCTCTTTACAAATGCAACCTTTCTTGCAATTCTTAGAATTAATCTTAACGCAAGGTACGGGTCTGCCTAATTGTGTACAGTTTTTCGCATTACAACCGCCGTTTGTACAATCGGAATACACTTCATCGGGACCGCATATTGAAGCTAAAAAACAAACAATGAAATTTAATTAAAGCTTGGTCGAAAGTTAAGATTATTATTATTATTGAAGTGAAGCTTCTAATGGGACTTCTAACAAGGTTGCGTTACACGTTGAACGCTACCATACTAGAAAGAGATTAACAGATGTGTATATAAATAATAATACACTTCAATTTCATATATATTATATTTATGTACACTATTAAATATTGAGTTATAATTATATAGTTATGTATATAGTTGAGGTTAAATACTGAAGTCTACTTCATTTCTTTCTAATTAATTTAATACTGAAACAGTTATTCATGAAACTTATTTCTTTTACCGCACGCCCTTTGAAAATCAAATATTTTTCCAGCTCCCCCCATTTTTTATACACCCTAAAACTTTAAAGACGCACAATTTCATTACTTTAATTAAATTTAGTTATATTAGTCGGTTCTGATGTTAAACTTACATTCTAAACTAGAAATTTTTACCAGTGAGAGCAAATAAAAAACCCTACTTTATAATATACTAGCTGACCCGGCAAACGTTGTCTTGCCATATATAAGATTTCTAGAGAATTTCTAGTGTAGAAAAAAAATTACTAACTTATTGGAAGTGTATAAGGATGTGGAATATGAGTGAAAAAGGCCTGGAACGATGAGGGAATGTTGTTTAAAAATAACAAAACACCAAACATTAATTGTTTTCATTTATTAAAAGTGATAATTATATATATAATTAATTCATTACATAATATTAATCTCTTAATGCTGCAGCGTGAACAATATTTTTTGTTAGCCCGTCTTTAGCTAATACAAACAAACTTGATGGTTTACCCACTCGAGAGCATGCAACGTATAATTGTCCGTGTGAAAAACATGGTGTGCTCAAATCTAAGCCACAAACAGACATTGTTTGGCCTTGGGATTTATTAATAGTCATTGCAAATGCCAATCTAATCGGAAATTGAATACGCTTAAATTGAATTGGTACATCTGTGGGTATAATAGGTATTCGTGGTATCAATATATTTAGCTGACCCGGCAAACGTTGTTTTGCCATATAAATAATTTCCTAGTAGTAATTTCTAGTGTAGACAAAAAATAGCTTACTTATTGTAAGTATTGTATGTTCGAATGTGTATATTGTATGTATGTAAGAATGTGGTATATGCGTGAAATAAGCATGGAGCGCTGTGAACGATGAGGGAATATAAAAATAACAAAAGGCAAACATTATTTTTAAGTTATTATAATTCCTTATTCCTTAAAATTATATATCATTCATTAAACAATTACGACAGTAACACAATTAAACAATATCAATCTC